AACACCCGTTTGTCGATCTCAAAATCAATGTTGCCCTAAATTTTTATGTTACGTAACTTCAAATTCTAAGGCAGGCGATCTTCATATTTTAGTTGACAAAGCAAGTCAGTTGGGAATTATTGGTTACCAAACACAACGAGGAGTTTCTAGACTTTCATCATCTAAGTCAGCTTCTCATTACTATGATATTCTTGGTCTAAAACCTTATGCAACACAAAACCAGATAAAGACTGCATATTACCAAATGTCAAAACAGCACCACCCTGATGTGAGTGAATGTCAAAATAGTCACTCACTGTTTACAGAAATAAATGAAGCATATGAAGTACTTGGAAATCTACGCAAAAGGCGAATGTATGATAGAGGCTTATATAGTAGCCCAACTGTACATCAGCAGAGGTTTGTTGGCTTATACATAATAGTAATAATACATATACTTAGTCTTAGGAATATTTCAATATACTTGACTTGTCTTCTTAGAAAATATTTTACTCTTATTCTAAATTTAGAGTATAATAGGCTACTATTTTAAGCTTCTATGTCAGCGGTTCTCAACCTTTCTAATGCCGCGACCCTTTAATACATTTCATCATGTTGTGGTGACCCTCAACCACAATTTTATTTTCGTAAATACTTTACAACTGTGGAGTATGTGTGTTTTCAGATAGTCTTAGGCGACCCCTGTGAAAGGTTGAGAACCACTGCTCTATATGGTGTTACGTTCAGTTTAAACAAGGTATGCTAGACAAGTGCTCACATAACAACTTGAGGGAGGTGTTAATGTGTAGCCACTTTCTTTACTGGGTGGTATGGCCAATATGGGACAATGTGCTACTGCTAGCTGATTTACAGTTACAGGAAGAACTCGGTTGATTTTTGCAACCAGACATGGTCAGTGCTACATTTACATGATACACAGAAACACATATCATCTAAATTTTTGAGATTCAAGTAATATTTGGTACCAATTAGCTTTGAAAAATAGGTAGGTGGTTACCCTTTTTATCATTCTTTTGTATTTGAAATCATTTTTAAAAAAGCTATGATAATTTTTTTAATTTGTGGGAGCAAAAATAACTAAGAAAGAGAAGTGATTCATCTTCCATTTAAAAGAATGAAGAAAACAAATCATATGATCTAAAAATAGACCTTATTTCAACTGATGTGGATCATTTAAAATTATTTGTCTTCTACTTCACTTTTAATGTTAATTTAAAAAAAAAAGATATTTAATGCTGAATAATTATGTACAGTTACCAGTTGTCTGGTTTACCCGGGACAGTCACTGTTTTAGCATCACCCGTTCTGGCATCCCTGAAAGGTCAGGAAATGTCCCGGCCAGTAGTGTCTTCCAACAAACTGCATACTTTTCCTTAGACTGGGATAGATGCTGCCATTATGAATGAGAGTCTTTTCTCTGATTAAAACAACATGTGAACACCAGAAAAATGCAATTGAAGGTCAATGCACTGGAACATGTGCTGGTTTTCAAATGCAATTTCAGTGATTCATGTGAAAAGTTTTATGATGTGTCATTAAAAGGGGTCGTTCGCAAATTACGTCATGCAAAAAAATACCTTTTTAGGACCCCCCCCCCCCTTTTCAGTGTCACGTCACTCCTAAAAAAATCAAAACATACATAAAATTATCATAACTTAACTAAGATTTTACTCTTTAATATTTTCCCATAATGGATTAAGACGTAGTGTTATAAGAAAACTGTGAGGCGAAACAACGAAGTCATCCACAAGCCGAATGTAAAATGGCCACAACAGTTTTTGCGTCATTTATCAATATGCGCAAAAGGTGTGCGCCACTGACTTTCATGGTAACTATAATACCTGAGGCAATTTTGACCTCAAATTAATATTTTTAAAACATATTGAATAAAAGTTTTTTCAAAATCAGAAAGTTTAAGATTGAAAAAAAACAAACAAAAAAACTTAGCCGTCACAAAATTTGGACCCCCACCCTCCCCTGGCACAAAGTATCACAAATTCCCCCCGCCCCCATTAGCATGTTGTAATTTGCGAATGATCCCAAACTATCCTGATGTCGTGAGAGCTATCCACTCATCTCAGAAATATTATTGAGTCATGATTATGAAATTAATAATTATAATTCCCTTGTTAATTCTTCATATTTCCTACACATGCTGGTTGTGTCAATTTCTTTTTTAAAATTCCTTATATCAACATTAAAAAAAGTGAGATGTTCATTGTTCAACTCAGGCTCAGGAAGTATCAATAAATTCCTCTCAAAACACATTTGGTACTTTCTACATTATTGTTAACAAATATTTATCCTGCGATTCCTCATTAAAACAACATAAGTTTTCAATACGTCCAGAACATACTGTATAAAATATAATGTACAATAATCAATTTGTTCTTTTCCCTTCAGGAAAGCATGTCTTTCAGTCTAACCAGCTCCCTCCCCCCCCCCGGTCCCAGGTTACCCCCAGAATAATCTGGTCACCATAAAATATGTTACTTCTTCAAATATTGATTATAAAAGAATAAAGATGAATAAAAATGATAATCAACAGAATAAAGCCGTAGGTTGTGTAAATTGAGAAATGAATAATTACATTAGAATATAGAAAATGCAAAATAAATTTATTAATTTTATTATTTGCTAACAATTTTTTTTACTGTCCTCAGCCCTTGATTTTGGTATTCTGCAAATACAACCAAGAAGACTTCCAATGTTATTTTTGGATATCATCTATTCTGTTTATATTAGTTGATGTCTAGCCATGATGAAAAAATACCTAACATTTAATTTGAATCTGACTTTGGTCTATATTGATTGCTATTTTGGAACACTGAAAAATACTTGAAAAATTAAAATAGTAAAATAATAACACTGATAATGACTCAATATCACTAGTAATGATAAACCCATGATAATAACTTAATAAACACCAATAATAATAAAGTCAATGATAATAATCACTAACATAAATAGTCCTCAATAAAACTGATAATGACTCAATAACAAATCTGTTGCAACCATTAGCAACTCCCAACGCCTACCTCTTAAAAAATACCAACTGCTCTATCTCATTTAGTGTTTATAATTAGGAAAGTTTTTCAAATGATCTTTTAGGTTTCTGTGCAAAATAACTGTATTCATATATTTTATCATGTTTTAAAAAAAAAAAAAAAAAATTTATTGTGATAACTATTTTTTATGATGTGAATATTAGTCAAATTTGAAGTATTTCATTAAAAAAAAAAATTCTAATGTGTGCAATTCAAACCCCCTATCTCTTGGTCCAGCGGCAATGAATTTTACCCATGCACAATGGGACCTATTTTAGCCTCAATTTATTTATCTTAAAAAATACACATGCCATATGCTTTATTATAAAATGATAGTAATTTTGGAGATAACTTGTTTTTTTCTGCTCAACTCTGATAATGGCTAGACACTAAATGATCTCCAGCACCTTGAACATTTTGACTAAACTGTCATTTGCTATACTATGAACTAATCACAAAATTATGTTAAAATACATTTGCTAAGAATTTGTTTCAAAAGCATCTGTTTTTTTTCCTAAATATCATGTTAAATCTAAATCAGCACCAAACTTTATAAATAATTGAACAGTTATGAACAAATATAAAGCATATGCTTTGCAACAATATACTTGCAGATATTTCAGGAGGGATTTTGAAAAAAAGAATTAGTTACTTTAGGCTAAATAAATGTAGAGAAAACCATCTGTAAATCAAATTAATAGTCAATAAAATTATGTATTAAAATAATATGCTTTTATCTTGCCTTGTTAATTAAAAATGTTCCTGGCAGAGCACCCTTAAAAATCAAGGAAATTTGCCTGTAAAAAAATTATTTTTTAGTTTTGGAAAGTGATTATTATTATTATTATTTTTATTATTATTATTATAGTATATTCAGTCACATTAATACAAGTTAAGAGCTTTTAAAGCTGTGGGTTGATTTTAAAGAGCATTCTTCAACACAATTAAGAAATATGATTTAAAATTTTTCCACCTTTGTTGAAATCCAAAATGATTATCTTAGACTTTTCATTTCTGAATACAATGTAAAATACTTTGCCTACTCCTCAGAGCTGACAGCACACAGGAGGATACGGAAGAAAATGAAGACTATACCCAGGCCTATCGTAATTCAAACTTTAAACGGGGGAGTAGGCCCCCACCCCCTCGAGGCCACACCAAAATTTACAACTTTGATGAATTCTATAGACAACACTACAATGACATGAGAGAGAGAAAGAGAAAGGCCACAGAATTCGAAGAGTACAAGAGGCATCAGGAGGGTAGGATTAAATCCACTAACTTTGCAATGGATGTGTTAGTGCTTCTCTGGATGTTTGCCGCCTTCTCATTGGTGATTTTAAGGAGGGAAAATTATGACCGGGATATGGTTGGTCAGAAAAAAACACCTGGGACCAGTCATGGAGGAAATAATGTTGCCAGCTCTCCAAGATCGAGAGACTGAATAGTTGTATAGTTCATTCTGAGATCACTTGCTTAGAACTTTGATATTGTCGGCAAGCAATAGGGTTACACAGACGGATGATGCATCTTCAAGGAGTGTGCTGTCACGAAAGTATTTAAACACTTTACAGCTGTTTACTTGATTTAGTGGGTCTTTTGAAATAAAATGTCATGAAGCTACAAATGTCAGAGACACTTTTAAATAAAAAATAACCCCATACATTTGCCTGCATTCACATCTTGTCAAGACTGATTTTTTTTTATACCGGTACAGTGAACAATTTATTTTAAAAAATGCAGCTTTATTTTGGTAGGAAGTCACACTTACAGCTCTTCCAAGCTTGTTTCTGTGAATGAGAATGATTTGTTGGTACTCTGAGAGAAATCATATTTTGCACATGCAATACTTTCTGTGTCTTTTATTTTTTGTATCACTGTTGTTGCCAGTATCATCTCCATCTACATCTCTCTGTATGATTTCTTCCATGTTTGGTACCGGGTAATCTGAATTTTAAAATAAAACTTTAGCCAATAGTATATGCTGATAAAATAAGTATTTATAATTTATAGTGAAAAACTGAAATTTAAAAAAAATAATATTTATACAGAGATACATAAGCTTAAATTTAACCCATATAGTATAGTAAAGAAAATATATTATGTATTTTTATATATGCTCTTTTGTAAATAATACTTCTAATGTAGTGACTGACATATTATAGAGTAAATTAAGAAATAGTTATTTAGTTTACGCTCACTAAAAAACTACCAGTAATGAAAAAATAAATTATGAAATAGTTAGTTTAGGCTAACTAATAAGCTACCGATAATGAACAAAATTAATTAAGTTTAAGGTGTCTTTGCTGGGGTGGTGAAAGTAACAATTTTGAAGACGACAGAGTAAAAACTATGTAAAAGTGCAAGATAGGTTTATGAGAGGTGGTCAGGAAAGTGATAAGACAGATGGGAATACATTATATTTATATAACCTTGGTGATCTTGCTGGTGCAAAAGAAAATTATAAATTTCTATTGCAAAGCTCGGTGGACTGCCTTCCTTTACCAATCAGGCACAATTGCCAGGTAGATGGTGAAGACAAGCTATAAGTTAGTATACTTAGGTATTATGTCATGATCCTCCTGCTCCAAATTTACCATACTTTTGTCTTTGTATGTAGTAAAACATTGCACAGTGACAGGGGTGCCTAAATGGAGTCACATTAGTGCCTATATTATATAATGAATAAGTTAAAGGTATATTTATATTACATGTACTACTGTACGTCACATGTGCTAGCCAAAACATGAATAATGTCATTATCTATTGTCTAAAAAATTAATCATTGAATGAGTGAATGACACACTCACTCACTGTTACCTTCATTGCTTCATTCATGCCACAGTCACAGACCTCAAACTTAAACTTAAAATCTAAAATATCACTCTGAGACTGACTGTAAGTGTAAGTACCTTTACTTTAATTTTAAGTTTACTGTACCTGGTGTCTAGACTTAAACTAGTCACAGTAGCGTAACTTACATACTGTACCATACACTCTTCATTTTACAGTTACATAGATGATAGTTAACAGACGCTTCACACTCACACACAGTCACTTACTCACAGTCACAGTGACAGTCACAGAGTGAGGGTGCTACTACGACTACAGTGTCTACAGTACAGTCTACAGACTAGACTATATTATAATTATAATAATAATAGTAGTATAGTTTAACTAGAACTGTATAACTAAAACGCTGTTTTACAATGTACACCGCGCGAGTATTTCAATTTATTAGATGAGACATTGCGCTACTGGCAAATTGAAGGGTTAAAATATTATTAAATATTAACGTATACTTATAAACAATAAATAATTTTTAAAAATAATAAAACATTTCACTAACTTGTTGGTCTACTGTTTATTAGGCCAGTTTTAAAAAAAAGCGCATAATTCTGTATGTACTAGTTAACAGCAGTATAATAATTTCTTGGAATTAAATGTGTAATGGGAAAAAGTATGAACGAAGAAGAAAACTCGTTTAGTTACCACATCCAAAATACGGCATCAAGTAGAGTAGCGGTTCTCAACCTGTGGGTTGCGACCCTTTTCCTAAGACCATAGGAAAACATATCTATGAAGTAGCAACAAAAATAATTTTATGATTGGGGCATCTCCACTACATGGAAAACTGTATTAAAATGGTCGCGGCATTAGAAAGGCATAGAAAGGTTGAGAACCAATGAAGTATGAAGTAGAGCATTTTTTCTGTAAAAAAAAAAATTGCCTTTTTATTTTAATCAAGGTTAAAAAATTAAATTAGACACACATTATGACACATAATTAAATTACGGTATTTATTGGCGTATAACACGCACTTTTTCTCCCCGAAAATAGCGGGCAAATCATGTGTGCGTATATACGCCGATATAATGTTTAGTTGTTTTTTTCTGTTATACGCGGGTGCGTGTTATACGCCAATAAATACGGTAGTTTCAAAAGACATTATTAGTTTCAAATGTTCTTTAATACTTTTTTTCTTTTAAATTTTAGGTAAATTTCAATTAGAAAACGCTGCAAGCCCGGGTCGCCAAGCCTTGGCCCATCCCATGGCCAAGGTTCTATTATAATCAGTTTATAAATTTATTATTTATATCATATAAATTAAACATTTTAAAGCTTAATTTCTAACCTATTGTGTTATTATGTTCTAACAAATACTATTATATTATAGTGAGAAAGTTAAGTCTGCTAGTGTTTTTATTTAATTAATGTAATGTAATTTATTGTACGAAGTGATTATTCACAGAGCTGTGCGGATAACGCTCGCCGTTATTCACAGATTTCGGTCTACCGATAACGCTAAACGTTATTCACAGAATGTGATAAATTAATTAATGAATATAAAGTACAAAGTTCGTTTATACACATCTCCTCGGTAGAGTAGTGGTCAGTATCTCCGCCCGTAACCCGGCAGACATAGGTTCGATTCCCCGTCGGGGAAGCCTCATTCATCCCCAATGTCAACAAAATACAAATCTATAATTTACCACATTTAAAACAAACGCAACTCTACAAAAACTAATTACTGGCATACAATTGCAAAGTCTTTCTAGCCATTTCAACCCCAATACCCTACATCCAACAATAATTTTTCACCAGTCTAGATCTAATGCATTATATGATTATTCGCAGATTTCGGTCTGCCGATAACGCTAAACATTATTCACAGAGCTGTGTGGATAACGCTTCCCGCCCTTTATTGTATGAGAATGAGGGAAATTCTTTTAAAAATATTTTTTAAATTATAATGTTTGAAATCAACTTATAGATATTTAACAACATATATATATAATGCTCATGCAAGTATAAAAATGTCAAGATGTCTAAATATTTATTTATTGACTGCGCTGCTGTTTCAGTTGGGTCTATGTGCCATATTATTCTATTCAATTTATTGAATGGATGTAGCCACAGGGGAGATAAATTAGAAATTAAAAAAAAAAAAACTAGCAACACTGGTTTTTCCCTTGAACCCTTCATATTTAATGTCTGAAACAAGTTAATAAGATAAGACTAAGACAAGATTCTTTTATTGATCCAAATAAATGGAAATGATTTTTGATTGCATTATACATTTTCAGCACAAAAATAAAACAATTTGAACAGGACATTTATAATAAATTATTTCAAACAGCCATTCAGTGAGTTCTCTTAACAAAGTCGGGGACTTATTGGTTCTCATTCAGATGTGTGACTTCAGAGGAAGCACGCTGGTAAATTTGTACAGTATAATGCCAGTAATATCATGATTATTATAAAAGTGCAAAAGTGCCAGCAGAAAACACAGTGAGCTTGTTACAGGTACAACAGGTATTTATAAACAGAGAAGTTTAGTTCCATAAATGTTATTTAACTTTGAGAAAAGTGTCTTGCTGATGCAGTCCATAATATTTAAATTTTGTAAAACACATTTTAAAGAAATCCACTGAGTCAATAGGATCAATTTGATTATCAGTCATTATGTAAAATTATCAGTCATTATGTAAATGCAACTATTAAACACCAACAAGATTAGACCATTTTGTCAAAGGAATATCATAAATCGCACAAATTTATAGAATTTTTCAGAGCGCCAGAAAACAAGCAATGGTAAGATGTGCAAATGTTTATTTATAATTTAAAAGGATAGGGATTGATTGTATTCAAAACAATAATTAATATTGATTACAAAGTAATAAAAATATATTAATGATGATATTGATAATTATTTTAACTTTTCAATTTTGTGTAGAGTTTTGATCTCATACGTTGACATGTATCTAGTGTTGTGCTGAGGACAAATGGCACCTGGAGCAAAGCCTTCAAATACCCTCACCTCTCAATGTTCATAAAAAAAGTGTCACCTGAGGCAGACCATTATAAATTATACAGATTATTTTGGTGCCTCTTGTCTTAACACAGTACATGGGATTTTATAGTTTAATTCAATATTAAGGTCCAATCTAAGGATGATTTTGTCACCCCCTGATGCTAGTGCTTAAGATGAATGCCCCTGTTGCTAAACCCCCCCCCCCCCCCCCCCCCCTTGAACAGTTCTATATGTATGACAAAATTTAAGATAAATGTCCAAAAAATGGCATCTGTAACAGAAAAAAATGGTTAATAAAATAAATGATTGTCAAAGATGCTGAAGATGAAAATAAGACAAAATAAATTGACTAATTGCCTACTTCAAATGTATCAACTTTTCAAAACATAATTTATATACAAATTTTTTTTATAACATAATAAAAACATTTTTTTAACACATCAGTCAACCACAATATTAATGAGATGTTCTCTTGTGAAAATTCTTACACAGTATCAATGTGAGGTTTCAATCATTCACATAAAATAAATTAATATTTTAATGTTCAAATCATGCGAAAGTAAACTGTACAAAATATTAATAAATAATTAATTATAAAAATTTAATGTTTTAATTACAATGACAATACTTAACATTTATTTTATCAAGATTATAAACAAGTTTTTATAGCAGGATAAAGTTAATTAATCCATTGAAAATTATTTCAATAGGAGTGCATAGTTTCTGCAGTGGTACACTACTACACTGTGTGACTTAAAGGCTAATAATAATGTTACGTGGACTTGAAATTATTACTGTTTCAAAACAACACCAGGGCTCAGTCTCTGATAAATTTCAAAGCCGATGAGAGCTCACTTCTTTCTTAGTGAGGCGTCGAGCAGCCTTCCCCAGAAACTACTGTATGGGTGTGCATATTGGGTGGGGTTTCCATGTTTGTCCACCATTGGCCGTCTTTCATTGGCCCATTGAAATATGGAACCAGCAAGATTATAGATTTCAGGAACTGGTGTTCTACCTGTATGGAATGAACCAAATGCTCCTAAACATAAATATATTTCTCAACCAAAGTTAAGTATATTAAATAATTATCAAAGGCACAGGACAAATGAATTCATCTATTACTAGGGTCCTGTTTTTCCTCTGTAAATTCATACAATACTATCTGTACAATGGAATTTCATTATAGTTTGGGAACGATGGTCGGTATCAGACAGAAAGAACTAACACACATAGATCACTTTGCCTAGATTCAGCAATTTTGATTTAACACAATTGCTAAATACTTGTTAAAAATAAAATTTTAAAATTAATGTTTTAAAGCATGGTGCAGTAAGAATTAGACAGGGACTTGAAAAAAACAAAAAATTGAACTTGTGACAAAATATAAGTACAAGTGACTTACCAGATTTATAATAATATTCTTGAAGATTTTTGGCTACTGAAGATGACCGATATCCCAAAGAGCAGTAACATACAATAGTCGGATTGCGTTTCCCTATTTAAAATATATGCATATGCAGGTAATACATATGCTGATGGAGTCAAAAGATTTTTTTTTTTTAAATTACAAATAACAATATTTCATTTTGACAAATAAAATGTATGACTCATTGTGCTAACTTTTTTTGATAATCTGGTTACACTTTTTGGATTTGACAATATAAGAAGCCATTATGCATACATTACAAACATATGTATATATACATATATATATTTATTTATATATACATATATTTATTGTAGTAGTGTGAGGTGGTGGCTACTGGAGGGTGTGTGCGTGTGTTTGCCTGTTTTAATGGACACACTTTTAAAACCCTGCTTGCAGTGTCCAAAACTGTAGCAAAATGGGTGTGGTGAGATAATGAATGAGGCTGACAGTTTTACTATCATACACTAAAAAAATTCAGCTTTAGCTATAGCTTTATATGAACTCTAAAGAAAAATGTTGAAGAAAAAGCCTAAGAAAAAGCTTAAGAAAAAGTCTATTTATTATGAAGAAAAAGGACAATATAGAGCATCCAAATGGGCTGCGGAGAACTATGGCACACTTTTAAACTTTGAATAAAAAAACTGATTAGCGCGCTCACTATAGGTAAAAGTGTGGGGATAGACCAGAGAGACATGTCGCTTACTTGCCTTCTGGCAGATTCCCAGTGGTAAATTAACAATCCCTTAGCGACTCCAACCCAAATAAAAGTCACAATCCTAGACCAAAACTCTAAAGACTTATATGTGCCTGCTCCCATTTTTCTCGTCTATCTAAGTCTAAGATACACTTTTACATTTCTATAAGTTAAAAGGTTTTTTATATATTTAAAATAGAAGGGACTGGACCCCCCAATGGATGATGAACCCCCCAATGGATGAATGTGAGAACTCCCTTAATTGCTTAATATTACAATGCCCTCTAAAGATGTAGACTTGTAAATATACTAAGAGGCCCTTCCATTCATGCTGCATGCTATGATACCCTAACCCTGAGGTCATATTCCAACACACCGTTGGGCGCTAAACATGGTTTTGTAATAGCGTGGCCTACAATACCACATCATATATATTATATATATATTTATTTTGGGCAGTGAACGATGGACCACATAGGCCAGTCATGAGCGGAAACTCAAATATACGTATATAAAAGCAAAATATTCATTTTGAAAGAATACATTTCACCCAACAAAAATGAAAGGGACCTAGACTTGGTGACTTTGTCTACTATAGAGAGAAAGATAGATAAATATATTGATGAATATATTTGTCGTGATGTCAAGTTGTCAAGTTTATTTACCTAAAAGCCTATCCTCAATTGAATTAACCAAGTTTTCCATATTATTGTCTTGAAAGTCCACTCTGACAGCATCATTTAAATGGCTGACATCAAATTCTTCTTGCTGTCTAGCATCCTGTTTTAAAATGTATGGTTTCTTATGTGAATCAAGATTTGAAAAGAAAATCCAATTTCACAGATTCTGAAGCTGTCATGTAAATTGAATTTCAGTGGTGAGTGGAAATGTTAATTAGGTTACAAATTTAGTAACTTTTAAATATTTATTAAATTTGTTTATAGTGTTTGTTTGTAAAAGTCTTTACAAAGTCCTAAGGAATTTAAAGGTTATTGTATAGTTGTATGATAGGTGATACTAGTAAAACTGTGTACTAAAATCATTTTCCCATATTATTTATGAGACTATGCCTCCATTTAGGTTATTTCCAGTAAAGATAAAGATTTTACATCAAACATTTCATTACATTGTATAAAAAAATTTTTTTTAAATAAGCGTACCTGCTATAATCACCTTTTTAGATTTAGCAGCTTTTAATAATTTTATCAATTTTCAAAAATTCAATCACATTTTATTTTTATTTTAATCCAAATTTTAAAATGCTTCGTTAAAATTTTTTTTTTTTATTAACTACTGTTTTTACATTTATCTCTGTCAAGATCAAATATCTTCAACTGTTTTGGTTCATTAGGGGTATATATGTGATAATCCTTTCAACCATGTGGATGCTTGCAGATATAAAAAGAGAAAAGTTTTGCTTCTCAATCTTACAGCCAAAAGAAAAACATGAGCCATAAAATCTACCAAAAAAATCTTTAAATCTTTTGGGAAAGATTTAACACCCGGCAACCCTACCTTCAGTTATGGTTATATTATGAACCCCAAATAAAAGCCAGATGGTGATTTTAGCAATGGTAATTACCATTCATTAAGACGTGTTTTCTGTGCCTCCTGAAACTGAGGCCAAACTCTGCAAACAATTTTCATGGACTATAGAATTTAGCGTTAAACTAATTTCAGGTCAATTTAATAAAGATGTTATTGGATTTAGGGTGAGAAAATGTTCACACACTCTATGAACTGCAAAAACCATTCCTCAGACGCTAATTAGTGCTTGATGCAGTGACCAAGGAACAGCACTTTTAAATGAAGGCTTCTTCTGTGGCAGCTCTAGCAGGGTGAGGTTTTGTATTCTACAAATCTTTTTCTCATGTGCTGCACCAAGTTTATTTGGGTTTTCCATGAGCTTTCCATCTTAGTCTTGTCCTAGGTAGTGAGTTTCATGGCCTTTTACAAACATGACCAAGCAATTTGCTTATATGGTTTCTGCAAAAGTTGTTATACCAGTTCTTCATTCGAGAGTTGTCTTTGGCCAGGATATTTTACGGATCTTACATAGGCATTTTGTCTGAAAAACTTCCAGCTTCTGTTCTCATGAGGAAGTGATCTTCAAAAAGTTAAAATGCTCATCCATGGAGAACATCCAAGACATTAATTTTTTTTAAAATGTTAGTTGAGGCATTAATTCTCAAGCTGCTTACTCTGTTCACATGGATGTTAACATCACTCTCATGGAAGTTAACATCATTCTCATAGAAGTTGACATCATTTTCATGGAAGTTAACATCATTCTCATAGAAGTTAACATCACTCTCATGGGTGTTAACATCAATCAGATCTGATTTAATTTTCTGAGTTTTATTTATGTTATGGCCTTACATTCTGGGTATTGGTACAGTACTCAAAATATGTCCCATCTTCTGCTGGGCTGCTCATAACTATGATTATGTCCTCCACTATATTATTTTTTTTAAAATACTATTATTATTATGTAGTAATACTCAAGCATATGCCATCAACTTAATTAAATTTATTTTTCAAGCCTACCAGTAGGACTGTTGTTCTTTCTTGAGGTGTTTGAAGCCACTTGAGCAAAATTTCCGTTGAGATATTTTTAACTGTTGGAAATTTCATTTGCATGGACTTGATAGTTGATGTCATAAAGAAACCTGGCTTTGTATCCTCATAATCAATGGGATCAGCAGATGAGGACATAGTTGTTACTTAGACTGCCATGAGTTTGAGAAAAAACATTTTTACTGATGATAATTAAATTTTAAAAATAAATAATTTCTTAACAATTTGTTCATCTTAACTGAAGAACATTTCAATTTCATAGATTAAAAAAATATTGTTATTCCTTAAAATGATATTTATATTTAGGCTACATTTAAACATAAGTGTGGCACAAGAGGTTACAGGTTAAATTATTGTATGTTCAGAAATGTCTCCAAGTCATTGATGTAGGAAGTGGGTGCGGAGGGGGCAGTCTGCTCTGGGCGGAACTTTTTTAAATGTATAATTTATTTGGAGACAGCATTTTCAATCAACTGCAGAGTTATTTTCGTAGAAAGAAGCTGCAAATATCTTAAACTGCCCCTGGCGGCACTTTCCCTAGCTACGCTGGCAACAATGAGTAAACTGCAAAACTCATTAGGCTCTTTAGCCTTTGCTATGAATGCTATGATTATGATTAGCCAAGTAAGGTTGAAAAAAAAAGGGGGGGGGGAAGCTAGCAAAATATCAATAAGTTTGGAAGGCATATCATTCAGTAAGACTAGTATGAGAAGTGTGGGACTAAGAAACATTTGTCTAAGCAAGCTGGCTGTAATTTTATCTGCATTGTTGCATCTTTCGGAATACATTCGAATAAAAAATCCATATCCATACATTATGATATTATATATGCACATCGATGACAATGAATATGAAAGTTGTGAATTGCATAAAACGAATTAAAATTTAACTATAAAACAATTTATGACTATATAATTATAGTACAGTTAAAATTTAATTTGCACTTTTTAATACCGAGTACAAATACATCGTCCTGTTGGCGAAGCGATTATTGTGTTATTTAATTAAAGTACGCGCAGTAAAAAGATGTTTGTTCACAAAAAACAACGTATCATTTTTAACGCGTTTAAATAAAAAAAATAATTATATTTAAGTTATCGATATTTAGTATGACCTATATTAAATTTCTATAAATAAGAAAAAATGTATTGGGGAATTTTGTTACGTCTGAGTGACTGTTTATCGAAGTGACGTTTTATGTTGATTTATACTAAATTTTAAAGGTATTTTTTAAAATAAATATGAATATAATCTCAATGTATATTTAATTTCACTGTGAGTAAGGATGACTTTAAGAAGATCATAGTCTTAATTTTTATTTAAATCCTTACGGCTCCGACAATAACAATATTGGCCCCCAAACAAATAAATTGGCAAGAGCAATAACTCTGACATCACGAGACTGCTAAAATATACTAGCGAACCAGAAGAGGCTGTGTCGATCGATGAATCCATGAATCTGGTTGACGCGACGCATATATTTGCCCCATCTGACATGGAATTCAGTTCCACCATTTTCAATGGATGCCAGACGATGCCTGTTCAGTGCTAGAATTATGGCTAGTGAAGAAATTCAAGGGATATCTGTAACAGATGTGTATGATCAGGCGGCGGGCATCGCCCATGAATTTGATAAGCTTATTCATAATTATGGAAACGAGTCAGTTACAGAGCTGATGCCCAGAGTTATCAGGTCACTTGAACAGTTGGAAACATTAGCATCTCGTTATGAAAGAGACGTGGAAGAAATTAACCAGCTGAGATATAAAGTTGAGAAACTTGAAGCTGAAAAGGCAGAAAAGGCACAGGAAAGAGCGAAATTTGACCAGGTAGGCCCCATTTTAATTTTATATATTTAAGCCTTATTAGTAGGTACTTGGGCAAAATGAAGTTTTCAATTTTAAGAGTTACTTGGTTAGATTGGGCCTGAAAAGTGCAATTCATTGATACCAAATTTATGGTTGTAGGACTATTCTAAAGAAGAAAGTAATAATTTTTTAGTGAATTATTTTTGGGATAACTGTAAATTGAGATATATTTTGATAATAGGAAATTATTAAAGTGTCTACAATAAAAACTTGGCGGCAGAGAGTTGAATAGATGTTAAAAAGAGCAGTAAATTGAAATTATTTAATGAAGATAATTGTTAAAAACCATATTATTCATATATATAATATGATATATCCATGATTGTCATACTATGACTAACAATAGTCTTGAATAGTCATAGTCATAGATCAGATAGCATACTATTATCATTATCCAAACAGACGTCATATAATACAATTCTGCGGTACTCAAAATGAGCTCATTAATATTCAAAATGGCCTTAAAATTTCCATATGTCGAATTTGAATATGAAAATAAAATTAACAATATTCTCCAAAAAATAGAATATAGGGTCATGTATATCAAATTGTTCATGTAGAAAAGGTAAGGGCAAAAATTAAAGTAGCATTTGGAAGGATAAACTCATGTGTCCCTTAAAAAAATTAAATTTATTTTATATCTCAGATGTACAATGTTCAGATTATAGCAGAGGCTTGGGTCTTTCTTGCATATGGGGTTTCTTTCGATTCTATACTCTATTTGCTTATTATATATCATTAGTTTTTCATAGAAATGTACATTTGTTGCAGTCATTTTAAATTTATTATGAAGATAAACAAGTTTTTATTCATATTTCCATATTAAATCATATTACACATGTCAGGTAGTCAGGTAGCTTAGACCAGATTCCTAAATAAGCCTATAACATTGGAGTGGAATTTTAACTATTTAAATAAATAAATACAATTAAATATATTTATATGACTCTTAGTTATTAATATTTACCTTAAATAAATTAAAATAGTGCTTTTAACATAGTTTAGGGATCAGATTACTTAAGATTTAATAATGATTTGCTGAAGTGGAGAGGAGAAAATTTCTGCCATCTTGATTTAATAAAACTGTTTTGGTAGGTTGTGAGGAAATTTTATTTGCCCATTCTTGTAGATAATTGGATGCTTTTAACAGTGGTTATCATGAGAATGTGCAAGAACTTAAATAATAGACTTACCTTAATTCAACTTGATATATTTGTACAAAAAGTCTTGACTAAAATTGGGAAGACACAGTGTTTTTCGGCATCCAATTCTCTTTAAAATGATATATCACACAACCTATTTAACAAAGAAATGACCTTTGAAATTTTTTCGGCATAGTATTGTTGAATTCCACCATAACCTACATAACTATCAGAAAAAAATAATTTCAATAAGCATCCAGTATCCAGTATAAATGAAACAATTTGGTTCTAAAAAGGTTAGACTACTATACTATAGTAATACAATAGTACAATAGCAGTTATAAAGGAAAACCTTTAAATACTACTTAAAAAAGCACATTTAAAAAAACAATACAGACAAAATAATATAACTGACGTAACATGATTTTGTAACTGACATAACGCGTCTGAATGCAAGAAATCAAAAATGGAACAACAATGTCCTATCTTTGACAGAACTACAAATACTTCACTGTAGCAGTTAAATAAACCTGAACTTAAAGAAACACATATGTATAACAGTGTTTCAATGGCAGGATGGGATATAGGCCCCTGTCTATACTATCTCACTTTGACATAGCATTATTTTAAATATATTACTTCAGATTAGTGAATTAAGAATTTTATGAAAATTCATTGAGGCTAATTATAAGTGTTTAAGAAAAATTTAATGGATAAATAACTAAGAATACAACCACTGTGGTCTAGAGTTTTGGAAGCATTGTTTATAAAAATACTTTTAATGAGTATAATAAAAGTTAAACTCATTCTATTTGGAAATTGGGAAGTTTTCAGTTTTCTTATGGTATTTTAAAAGGAAAAAAAGAATTGTAACCCTTTAAAACTCGTTTTCCCCACACAGTTGTTGATTAAAAACTATTATTAATAATTAAATTTTAAATAATTACTTTTTAAGTTCATAAAATGTGTACCATTTAAGGTAAATTGGTTGACAATATTTCTATTATTTTTGTCTTCTCAAAAGACAAATATGATTTCCTGGCTTTGTGGCTGGAGTGGTGCTTTAATATTAAAAAAAAAAAAAAAAAATATTTATTGATCCAAATACTCAGCAAATCAATCATACAGGTGCACACACTTAACCTTAATCTAGTCTATTTTTATCTTAAGAAACTATGCAAGAAAACAGGAAGCTATTTCTTTCCTTGAATCTATGATTTGGAAACTCCCATTTGATAAGCAGTGCTCCCAGGAAGTAAAATGCTACTATAGTGCAAGACACATCCTCCCTATTTATCTCTAAGAACTATTTCATAATTCCTCCTTAAAAACAGAAATTGAAAACTAAAGAAAAAGAAAAGGGCCAGATTTAAAGGAGGAAAAAAATATTAAATAGGCATAGGGGTATTGGATGCAATATAGGACTATAAGAAGTAAGGACAACAATTTTGGCACTGAATTAATAATGCAATGACCCATATTATCTTGCAACCACAATTAAAGAGTGTGCATAATGAATGGTGCTGGTGGTAGTGTTAGGCACAAAACTGTTGACAGTTAAAAAGTTCCAGGTGTTGAAGAAAATATCCATAAAGTTATTTTTTTTATTTAAAAGCCAGTAGCTCATAAATTATTTCCTTCTGTCTAAAACATGTATTGTTATGCAAACAATGTGTAACATGAATGCTTCAGTTGTATGGATTCCATCCGGGGCAGTATCTCATTGCAGCAAATTATATTCTGTACATCCCTCTTGGCGCTGAGGGGAACAAACACAGGAAATCAATAGTCATATTAGTTAATGGGATAAATTTGGATTAAAATAAATCGAAATACTTAGTTGTGATGATAACTGGAGTGGAATGAGTGCATTTTCATCTTTTATTGAATGTATTATTTTAAATGTTACTTTTCTTAAATGGTCTAAAGAGAAATAGGGGGGGGGGGGGGTAATTTTTTTTGGCAGCGGTTCTCAACCTGTGGGTGGCTTGGGAACTTCAGCACATTGTTACACTTCTTCAGTTTTGTAAAAAACTTCTAGCTGTTTATTCTAGACTACCCATGTACTAGTGAATATTTAATTATGTTTCAAATTTTAAAAATGATTACACAAAGAAAAAAGAAAAAAATTAAGAAAGAAAA